AGAGGAGAGAGGGGGGTGAAAAAGGAGAAGGGGGGGTGAGAGAGGGGGTGAGAGAGGAGAAAGGGGGGGTGAGAAAGGAGGGAGGGTGAGAAAGAGGAGAAAGGGGGGGGTGAGAAAGGAGGTGTGAAAGAGAAAGGAGGTGTGAAAGAGAAAGGAGGTGTGAAAGAGAAAGGAGGTCAGAAAGAGAAAGGAGGGGGAAGAGAAAGGAGAGGGGGGGTGAGAAAGGAGAGGGGGGGTGAGAAAGGAGAGGGGGGGCGAGAGAGAAATTAGGAGGGGGGAAGAGAAATTAGGAGGGAGGGAGAGATATTAGGAGGAGGGAGAGATATTAGGAGGGGGGGGAGAGAAATTGAAATTAGGAGGGGGGGAGAGAAATTGAAATTAGGAGGGGGGAAGAGATATTAGGAGGGGGGGGGTGGAAAGAGAAATTGGGAGGAGGAGAAGGAAATTGGAGCGGGAGGAGAGATTGACATTCATCACATACACACAATGCACCCCTTGCACACAGAAAAACACACAATGCATTACACACACAGACACACATACACAAGCAATGCAACCGTTACACACAATGCATCCCTTACACACACAGAAACACACAATGCATTCATTACACACACTCAATGCACCCCTTACACACATTCAATGCATCCCATACATACACAGAAACACACCTTGCAGCCCTTACACATACAAACACAATTTCACACAATGCATTCCTTACACACATATCAGGACATCCCCTACACACTCCACCCCCTGTGAACAAACTCATTGGTGGAACATGAAGGTGGACCCTGGGACCCAGACCTTGAGCTGTGTAAAGGACCCCAAAAAAATGGAGCTGCTTCCTGTTCTCCCAGAACATTGATTTTTGTGACCACAGTTACAAACCGCCTCCAGAGAGCCTGTTCTGCACCAGACCAGTGGAGCCAGACTGCAGCTAGAGCCCATCATCATCCTCATCTGGTTGTAAGTAGGCAATCTAGTATATTATTCGTGGCACTAAGCTCTAATTTACCTCACATTAAAGAAACACTATAGTCCCCAGAACCACTTCAGCTTAATGTAGTGGTTCTGGTGTCTATAGCCTGTCCTTGCAGGCCTTTTAATGTAAACACGGCGGCACTGCAGCACTGGCGTTAGTTAACATGGCAAATCATATGGGTGGGGCATTGTGATGTCACATGGGGGGGGGCGGCAAACTTTACTTTTGCCTAGGGCGGCAAAAATCCTTGCACCGGCCCTGGCTGGAGGGGGCTGTGTGAGCTGTGGCCACACAGTGTCCCATGGTAGTTAGGGTGCCGTGCGGCCAGTACAGCTCACACAAGCAAACAGCTGATAAACCGGCCGCACGGCGGAAATGTGTATGTGTGACTGTCTGCCTGTGACTGTATGTGACTGTCTGCCTGTAACTGAGTGTTTGACTGTCTGTAACTGAGTGTATGACTGTCTGCCTGTAAATGTGTGTGTGGGGCTGCAGGGATTTTGTAGAAGGGGGCGGGGGTTTTGTATTGGGACAGGAGTCTTTACAAATTGTTAAAAAAAAATTTTTTTACAGGTTTTTTTTTTTTTTCTTGGGGGGGTACCAAGCACAGGATCCGCCCCGGGTGCCAAATGCTCTAGGTACGCCCCTGACTAAGAGTACTTACAATGGACCCATTCTTCGAGGGTTCTCAGTGGAATCCAATGTCCACAAGCGTACAATTCAAACTATGGTCTAATTTGCCGCATTTTGCTACCTTCATCCAAATTTTCATACAATAGCAAACTCTACCTATTCAAACATACAATACCACATTCTGACAGCCAATTCAAACCATACCCCTTTTCTTAGAATGCTTACCCTTTAACGATATCAAGGTTTAAGTAATTGGTTCATCACTCCACAAATAACATATAACCATCGAGAATTCCGGGTGTCATCAGACTTACGAGGCAGAATTTAAACCACACTAACCTGGTCATAAACCTTCATGAATTAAAGGACCACTATAGTACCAGGAAAACAAACTTGTTTTCCTGGCTCTATAGGGTCCTTGGGTCCCCCTCACCCTCTGGGCCCTTCTCCCGCCGGGCGCTAGGGTGAGGAAGGGGTTAAACACTTATCTTTCTCCAGCGCCTGAAATCTCCTCCTTCTTCTGCCGTCATCGGCTGAATGCGCATCAACAGCCGCACGCGCTTTCTGCCAGTCTCATGGGAAATCATTCTCAATGCTTTCCTATGGACGCTGGCGTCTTCTCACTGTGAAAATCACAGTGAGAAGCGCGTAAGCACCTCTAGCGGCTGTCAATGACACTAGAGGTTGGATAAACCCTAATGTAAACATAGCAGTTTCTCTGAAACTGCTATGTTTACAGCAGGCAGGGTTAATCCTAGATGGACCTGGCACCCAGACCACTTCATTGAGCTGAAGTGGTCTGGGTGCCTATAGTGGTCCTTTAACCTTCTAGGGACTCCTGAATCCTAGAAACGGCACGATTACAGCTAATCAGACAGGCAATCATGTCCCATCAAGGAAACTTCAAAAGATATAGCCACTACCTCATATCACCCGACATACAAACCAGACAATTAAGACACATACTCTACTAGACAATCCCCTACAAATCAGTTCTATTCTATGCATTAAATTAGGTTTGGACCCTGCCTCTTATTCAAACATCCGTTCAGTAAGGGCCGTTTCAACCGCATCCCGTAGCAGTACACCAGTACACATGATAAATTAGGTTCATTGTGAATCAGCTATATCATACAGATACATTCCGCAACGGGAAAGAGGTAAGGCAAAGCGAATCTTATTTTTATGCTCATGTTGCAAATAGTGTGTTTTCTTGCATTTCTTTTTGCCCCCTTTTACAGGCATACCCCCTGCTTCGGTTTTGGCACACCACACCGACTTAATTCCAATCACAAGGTATTTCACGGTCACGATATTAACCGACCACAAGTTTAAGGCCGAAGGCCTGTATTTGTGGGAGGAGTTAGCATTCCTATAAAAACGCTACTCCTCCTTCCTACCATGCCGAGGCACGCGCTGTTCACCCCACCCACCTCTCCCTCTTCTTATACAGTCTCTCGGGGGGCCCCCTTTTAAAGGCCTACCCCCTGCATCGTTTTCGGCACACCACACCGACTTAATTCCAATCACAAGGTATTTCACGATCACGATATTAACCAACCACAAATATATATATATATGCTATATATACATATTATACATAGATATAATATATATATATATATATATATATATAAAATATATGTATCGATATCTCATATATATATATATATATATATATATATATACACACATATATATATATATATATATATATATACATACAACTCTCCGTTTTACAGCCATTGATCATATTCCCCCCTTACCCAGAGGGGGAGATAGATCCCAGATACTTTTACAGAAGGAGGCACGATGGATACATCGATTGGACACGGTAGCACCTAAGGGGCTTAATGAAAACATTGTATACTCTATGTTCCTTTAATTTATTTTCATATATATTCTGCCCTATATAATATTTGGAGAATATACACTCCGTTGCCTGTGGACCCTTTAAGACAAAATATAATATTTAAATTCCCTAAACAACTTTGGATTTATTAGAGATAGTATCTCATACTTCATAAATTTATTTTTGGACCGTGTAGCATTTTTTCATACAAAAATCCTTTGCTTTGATAATCAGATTCTATAATATATCTATGCCTTTAAAGCCTTTAGAACCTATAGATTAATATTAATTGATGTTATATGGATAATAACTATGTTATATTGCTACTTTCTTCATGGCTAATATTTATATTTTTAAGATGCATGTTTTTTGTCTCAGTATATATAGCTCTTTCACTTTGGGCATTAGCCACTTTACCACAGTTGTCTTTTATATATTTTGAACAGGCACTTATTTTTCTACCTTTGCACTGGCACTTTTATTGAATGATTCTACATACACTGCAGATACTGGCTATATATATATATAATGGTTAAATAGCCACTTATATTTCAGCACCTACTCGGTTTCTGAAACCAACTCTTGATATGTGTATTGGTTTCCTAGCAACCACGTTCACAGCTAATAGTTGAACACGTAATTCCGTTCACGTCACGTCACTTCCGGTTTTCACTTCCGGGTTCGGACGGGAGGAATGAGGGAACTGTATCACAATTGGTGAGTACACTTTATGTTTTCCTATATATTTGTAGGTTTTATGTTTACATATTGATCCTGAGGAAGACCCTATTGGGTCGAAACGTCGATCAAGTCATTTGTAAACCTTATATGGATTAAATAACATTATATTTTTTCTAAAAAGACCTCTGAGTGCATCCTTTTTCAACTACACTATTTATCAGCATAGGTCTGCACCGGGGCACAGTGACTATTACTTCTTTGAAGCAAGGGTGAGTGCCATTATTATGCTCTATATATATATATATATATACACAGAAGAAGAAAGTCTCTTGCACTCACACTTAAAGGACCACTATAGGCACCCACTTCAGCTCAATGTGGTCCATCAATGTTGTCCATCTAGGGTTAACCCTGCAGCTGTAAACATAGCAGTTTCAGAGAAACTGCTATGTTTACACTAGGGCTAATCCAGCCTCTAGTGGGTGTCTTAATTGCCAGGTGCTAAATAGCCAAGGCTCTGGTATCCACGTATCCAAAGAGGTAGCAGCACTTACAGAGTTAAAAAATCCAATCTTTATTTTAAATTGCTGGTCACTCACGGATATAATTTTCTTTTCTTTTATATATATATATATATATATATATATATATATATATATATATATATTTATAATTTTTTTTTATTATTTATTAACATTTTTTATTTTACAGTAGCAGAAAGACTGCCTGTCAGTTTAGGCAGCACTATGGACGCCTATTGCATCCATGTGATCGCTCTTTCAGACGGGGAGCAACATTGATCGCCGACGGGGGAACGACGGCGATCGGTTAAGTAATAAGGAATACCGTGGACGTCCTTAACCCCTTAACGCCGTTACGCCGTTCTATACCGCCCCGCATTAAATGGGCTTTAAAGCCGTTGCGGCGGCATAGAACGCCGTAACGGCTTAAGCCCCCAGAGCGCCCGGGATACTTACCTTCCCGGCGCTCCGCTACAGGAGGACTGCCTGACAGCCCAGGCAAAAGAAGCCCCCAGGGGCCATGTGATTGCTCTCAAAGAGCGATCACATGGCCCCCTATAGCTGGCTGTGGATCTGCCAGCAGGGGGACTGTCTGAAATGTCAGACAGTCCCCCTGCTGGTGGGAAAAATGTAAAAATAATTATTAGACATGTTTAAAATTAAAATAGAAATGTGTATATATATATATATATATATATATTTATACACACACACACACACACATACATATTATATATATGTAACATCATACAAAGTGTATTTTAATATTAATATAAGTACACATAGGGGCGTGGCTAACCGCCGAGCAAGATGGACGTCTGAGACTCTGCTCCGGCACGAGGGCTCCACTAAACTTACCCCTTGATCGAGCTGAAACCCTGTAAGCCATCAAATTTCTCATGGCAACCTCCAAGAACAAGAAGGCTACCACCAAAGCCGAAAAGATGAATTTTTTCGGACACAAATCTACCCCAATGGCGGACTCACAACGAGCAGCCGGGCACGAGGGCGCAGATGATACTGATCCCAGCCCCTCCCCAGCACCATCGGATGATCCCCTACCAGCGGACTGCCTGACACGGAGCCACTTCGAACACGCCATGGAGACTATGGCGGAAAAATTAATTACAACATGGCGCACGACTGCCGACCAAATCAAAAGGGAGGTGAGGGACCTCTCGACGAGAACTACCGCCATGGAACAGCAATATCAGGAGCTGGAGGCCATACAAACCACTACCTCGGAGCAGCTACGGGCGATTAAACACAAAATGGAAACCGTAGAAGAGCGCCTGGCGGACTATGAAGATCGGGCACGCAGAAATAATCTAAGACTTCGAGGAGTCCCAGAAACGGTTCTGCCAGAGGACCTACAAGCTTATGCGAGAGGCCTAATGAGGGCATATGCTCCTGACATACCTGCAGACATGCTCCTCGTGGACAGGATACACAGGGTGACAAAGCCCAAGAATCTGCCAGACTCCATACCACGCGATGTCCTGCTCAGGGCCCACTATTTCCATATCAAAGAATTGGTCCTGCGCTCCCACCGCACCAGAGAGAACCCCCACGATGACTTCCCATCGGTGCGCATCATGGCAGACATCTCGCCGGCCACTCTCCGCCGCAGACGGGAATACACCCAGACCACCACAACGCTCCGCAACCACGGGATCCGATACCGATGGGGGTTCCCAACGAAATTGATCCTCACCAAAAATGGGAAGACAACCATTATATCGACCCCAGATGAAGGATCACAGCTCATTGAGAAATGGGGCCTACTGCAGGATCCGCCAAATGAATCACGGCACGACAAACGCCGCCCAGGCCGCAACACTAACATGAACTAACCTGTTACCTTACAAGTACACTGCAAACCTGACGCAAGTATCATTTTATGCTTAACTAAACTCAGCTCACCCTGCCAATATACATATGGTCGTTTGTAGATACCAGACACACTAAGCTGCCTCTAAAGACACCCACCCTACCCACAATCCCAATCTTATTGCCCATGATAACCTAAATATGAGGGAGTGTATACCCCGGGGAGGCCCCCAAATATGAGGGCAGTAAGGGGCTACGGGACCGAAAGGCGGCTACCCACTTCTTTACCCGCTCCCTCTAACCAGGCTTCACCGGCATGGGCACGAATGACTGAATTCACGCAAGAGCAAGCCCCTTGGAGAATGCTCCACCCGCAGGCCTTGAATCCCATATCTAAAAGGCCATAACATACCCACCGAGACATTAGGTACAATAAGCCCGGGCTCATGGTAATGCTCCTCTCCCTATCCTGTGCCCTCTAGCTAGGTGTACGGCTCTCTTTTGTAAATATAGAAACACTGTGACGTTATGTTTTAATATTGTGTGACCTAACACTTTAGAAGATTCAATGTGGTACCTGCTGTGTATATGTGTGAATTAAGGTCGTGAGGCCCAAACACCCCCAAACACCACCAAGGGACACGCAAACCCAACACCCTCAGACTGTACAGGGGTCACATAGGGCTCAGAGCGACATAGCCAATACGAAAGCATGGCATCGGCCACATACTGACTTTCGCGCCTCACGGTACCACAGACCCATATGTAACGCCTATAAGTACACCCTACGCTATACTGACAATGCAACTCACATACAAGTAGCGGCCTCCAAACCCCCCAAGGGGACACTCAGAACATCCCAGACGTACCAGGCCTAAACCCATTTAGACCTACGAACATCCAGTGCATACCCCGTACCCCTTCCCCCACCTACAGGCAATGACTGTCCACTGGCACGCCCACTTGGGACAGTGGAAATGTACCACATACCCACCACCCCACCGGGGAGGGGCACAAGATGTACACCCCCGAGTGGACAACCAGCCCATGGGTATGCCCAGGAAACCAGTGAGACAATCCTCCATCCCATCATACACAGTGTCTTAAGGTATCTCGACCTCACAGCGCCAGGTTAAGCAATGATCCTTGTTTGTATTTTGTAAGCAAAGTTAACTGTTATATGCTAATGTTAATGCCTCTGTTCTATCGTTTGCCAACCTTATCTATGCAACTTCAGCTCCACTTCAATAATAACAAAGGAGCCCGCTTAGCCACGTATCTGGAAGCTCCTGCTCTTTTCCCCCAGGTACAATTAGCGTACCAGACCACTAGGTCCTGTACATACTACCCTACCCATACACACCGCCCCACCCCCCCTCCAACCCCTGGTCCCCCCCTGCCAACATCTACCAACACAGCGATCCATAAACGCCAGACTGAGCTAACAGACTCCCAACAGCCTCTCCATACCCTATAACACACGAGAACAAATATGCTACTCTACTCACATAACACCAAGGGCCTTAACACGCCACATAAACGACGTATGCTCCTCAATGACATCAAACGAACCAAAGCAGACATAGTCTGCCTACAAGAAACGCACTTTGTCTCCACCAAAATCCCAACCTTCGCCCTTAGGGACTATCCCACACAATTTCACGCTACCCACACCTCCAAATCCAGAGGGGTATCCATACTGCTACACAATTCACTAACTGTAGAAACTCTCCGGGTCAAAAAAGACAACCAAGGACGGTACATAATCCTACACTGCAGAATCAATGAGCACCCATATGTCCTAGTATGCCTCTACAGCCCAAACGACCAACAACGCAACTTCTTACATAAAATTCTCACCAAGCTACCCGAAGATGTGAACGACCCCAAGATCATCTGTGGGAATTTTAACCACACCATGGACACGAAGATGGACTCTACCACCCCACACACGTCAACAAGGCACCACACTCTCAAGCCCCACACTAAGGCATTTGTAAAGCTCATCCACGAAAACAGCCTATACGACGTATGGAGAACAAAACACCCCTCCGAAAGAGAATACACGTTCTTCTCACAAGTACATAAAACACACTCCAGAATAGATCACATCCTCACTTCAGGCACGCTACTTCCACACATAGAAAACTGCTCCATCGGCAACATAGTGTGGTCCGACCATGCCCCTATTACAATGACTTTACACTCCACCTACCAGCACCGGGGTAAGCCACCATGGCGCCTCAATGACTCACTGCTGCATGATCAGAAATTTGCAGCACTGCTGACAGCAAACCTAACAGATTATTTTATGACTAACGATAACCCCGATGCCTCCATATTCTCGATATGGCAGGCCCACAAAACGGTGATGAGAGGCATATTGATCAGCCGAGCATCCTATCTGAAGCGCACGAGAGAAAAACACCACACAGACCTCCTACGAAAACTGAGAGATACAACTGCGGTTCACCTCCTGAACCCCTCCACTGCTCATGTTGAAGAAATACGAGATATCACCAATCAACTTAATGCAATCTCTCTGGAAAAAACAGCACATATCCTTACCAAACTGAAACTGAGAACGTACACCCAAGGTAATAGAGCTGGGAAACATTTGGCCACTCTGCTTAAAAAACAACAGGCAAATTCAAAAATCCCGCACCTAATTACTGCCCAAGACAAAAAAATATATAACCCGCAAGACATCAACGATTGTATGGCCGATTACTATCACTCTCTATATAACCTCCGAACAGACCATACACTACACCAACCTACCACAACAGAAATTGAGGAATTCCTTGCGAAGACGCAGCTCCCCACTCTAACAGCCGCACAAAAAAACACCATACAGCTTCAGGTTAATACACAGGAAATAATAGACACCATCAATTCCTTACCCCCTGGGAAATCACCAGGCCCTGACGGCATGACCAACGCTTACTACAGGCAATTTGCGCCAGTTCTAGCCCCCTACCTCCAACGGGTATACCACCATACCATATCGACAGGACACCTGCCAAACGAAATGTTAATGGCTCATGTAGCTACACTTCCTAAACCAGGGAAACCCCCGAATAGATGCCAGAATCTCCGTCCCATCTCCCTGTTAAATACGGACATAAAAATCATAGCAAAAATCTTCTCCAATAGATTAGCACACATCATACCTTCCCTAATACAGGAAGATCAGGTGGGATTTGTGGGGGGCAGACAGGGGGCTGACGGTACGAGGAAAACCCTAAACCTACTTTATCAGATACAACGGAACAAAACCCCTAGCCTACTACTGTCCCTAGACGCTGAAAAAGCTTTTGACAGACTTCACTGGCCTTTCCTAATGGCAGTTCTCCGAAAATTCGAATTTCCCCCGCAGTTTATAGCACTCGTTACGGCACTCTACTCCTCACCGACAGCCAGGGTGGTGAATGGGGGCTTCATATCGAAACCATTTTACATCTCTAACGGCTCCAGACAAGGTTGCCCCCTATCCCCACTGCTCTACATCCTGGCACTAGAACCCCTTACCCAACTAATCAGAGACAACCCCAATATCCATGGAATCAAAATCAAGAACCGAGAATACAAATTATCCCTTTTTGCGGATGATATCCTACTTACCCTGGAACAACCGCATATCTCCCTGCCCAACTTCCACAAAATTCTCTCGCTCTTCAGTGCCTGCTCTTACTACAAACTGAACGTCTCCAAAACGCTCGCCCTAGGCATCAATATCCCAGACCAAGAACTTTCAACTCTCAAAGCTAACTTTAACTACGACTGGCGACGAGACCATATCAAATTCTTGGGCATCCTCTTTACACCATCTACGAACTCACTACACAAAGCTAACTATGTCAAATTACTCACAGAAATACGAACACTACTGCACAGCTGGAGAGGCAAATACATATCCTGGACGGGCCGGATAGCCTCAGTAAAAATGGTAATCCTACCCAAAATTCAGTACTTGTTCCGTACACTACCAATCAAGCTTCCAAACAAATACTTAAAAGACCTGCAAAGTACCATAAACGACTACATATGGGACTACAAAAAACCAAGGATAGCACTAACCACAATGACTACAGCACGTGACCAAGGAGGAATGGGTCTACCAGATGTGAAAGGATATTATAGGGCGGCGCAGATCGCCCCACTTATTGCAGCAGCCCACCGCGCGACTCCCATGACATGGGTCGAACTGGAGAAACACGGCGCCAGAGGAATCTCACTCCCCGCCATGGCATGGTTGCCACCGAACCACAGACCCAAAGCATCAGAAATGCTACCGACAACCGCACTGACCCTCAACGTGTGGGACGACTACTGCAAGAAGAAGGGAACAACATCACCCCTATCACCAGCGACCCCAATAGAATCGATCCACCATCTAATTCCAGATTTCAACTACAAAATGTGGCAAAGGCATGGCATCTTCACACTGTCGCAAGTGCTGCAAGGCAATGGCCTCAAAAAACTCACTGACCTACACGAAGAATTCCATATGCCAGTAACGGCGACCTTCTCATACATCCAGCTACAATCATGGATAAACCTACACAAATTGCACAAAATCAAAAGTCCACCTGATCCACACTGGATTAAACTGACAGAAATATGTACTAAAACAAAGCCGGCAGTAAAACTCATCTCGACAATCTACACTTCTGAAAACACAGACACCCAAAGAAAACCACCAACCTTTAGAGCGGCATGGGAACACGACATAGGGCACAAGCTCACGAATGACCAATGGAAGGATATCTTCCAAGCCAACAAAAAGCTGACCCTCTGCACATCCCACACAGAACTCTCTCGCAAACTATTGTACCGATGGTACCTGGTACCCACAAGACTAAAGCGCAGCTACCCAAATACGCCAGACACCTGCTGGCGATGTCAGAGGGACCGAGGCACTCTGCTGCACATATGGTGGCAATGCCCACTATTGACACAATTCTGGACACAGGTCCTAAATCTAGCGACCCAATGCACCCAACTACACATCACCCTGCTACCTGAAACATTCTTATTACTGCTACTCCCTCAAACACCTCACAAGCACAATAGGTACCTGCTATACCACATATGTATAGCAGCCCTCACCGTCTTAAGCAGGAAATGGAAACAAACCACTGCTCCTACGATCGACCAGTGTATTACAACCATAGAAATCACTAAAAACTATGAAACCATGGCGAGGAAAACAACACAAACCAACCCCTACTGGACTGAGGCTTGGGAAGTATGGGACAGAAACAAACCACGCTGAACAACCAATAAATTGTTACTTGAATTGAGAGATACACCTCCCCGATTGGAGGAACCAGAAGTTTAGGACTGCCCGCACCCACACACGCACCCACTACCCACAGGACCCGACCCATGCACACCACACTCCAACAAGACGCACCCCTAACACCTTACCTTCTACCCAACCACCTTATCCCACAACCAAGGCAACCGACCACGCAAATAATATGGAAAGAGTACATCCAAGCCACACCTGACTAGATATAAATATACGAGACCCACATGTTGTGGCATCATGACTGTTTTGTATGCTGTACTACCTAGAAACTACCTTTGTGAACATGATTACCTACTGTAACTGTAGCAAATTTTCCAAGCCTTTGTAACCATACCTAACCCCTTTTGCCTTCTGTACCCACCCTCTCTGACCTTTTATTGCAAAATAAAAATTGTCAAATTCAAAAAATATAAGTACACATATTAGTATTAAAATACACTTAGAATGACGTTATATATATATATATAATATATATATTATATATATATATATAATAGATATATAAACATATTATATATATATATATATATATATATATACACGTATAATTACAATAATAAATAAAATAATAAAATAAATAAATAAAATACTGAAACAAAATTTAATATTAATTATATATTCATATGTAATTTAATTCTAAGTGTATTTTGTTATTAATATATATATAAAAATTTGATTGACATGCCTGACAAGAAAGTGCAGAGAATTTAATTTGCAAGCACTATATTTGACAACCATAAAACCTGTACATAGGGGGTACTGTTTTACTTGGGAGACTTTGCTGAACTCAAATATTAGTGTTTCAAACTGGTAAATTGTATTACAACAATGATATTTTAAGTAAAAGTGACGTTTTTTGCATTTTTTACAAACGAACTGCACTTTTATGGACTATATTATTGTTGTAATATGTTTTACTGTTTTAAAACACTAATATTTGTGTTTAGTGAAGTTTCCCAAGAATAACAGTACCCCCCATGTACAGGTTTTATGGTGTTTTGGAAAGTTAGAGAGTCACATATAAGACTTGCATTTAATTTTTTTGACATTGAAATTTGCCAGATTGGTTATGTTGCCTTTGAGAGCGTATAGTAGCCCAGGAATGAGAATTACCCCCATGATAGCATACCATTTGCAAAAGTAGACAACCCAAGGTATTGCAAGTGGGGTATGTCCAGTCTTTCTTAGTAGCCACTTAGTCACAAACACTGGCCAAATATTAGTTGTTTGCGTTTTTCACACAAAAACAAATATGAACGCTAACTTTGGCCAGTGTTTGTGACTAAGTGGCTACTAAAAAAGACTAAACATACCCCACTTTCAATACCTTGGGTTATCTACTTTTTCAAATGGTATGCCATTATGGGGGTAATTCTCATTCCTGGGCTACCACACCGTCTCAAAGGTAACATTACTAATATGGCAAATTTCAATTTGAAAATGGAACGTTCTATATTTGACCCTGTAACTTTCCAAACCACCATAAAACCTGTTAATGGGGGTTACTGTTGTACTTGTGATACATCATTGATTACAAATATGTGCATTTTTTTGCAGTAAAACCTAACAGTATTATGACATTCACAGCTAAAATGTCAGACGGAAATACAAATTTAAAAATAAAAATCTTATTTTCTCACATTTTTTTAAATTTTGTTCATAATAAATTATGTTCCATATATGAATAGTTAATGGTAAATTAAAGCCCTGTTTCTCCTGAACAAAATGATATATAATAAGTGTGGGGGCACTTAAAGGACCACTATAGGCACCCACACCACTTCACCTTAATGAAGTGGTCTGGGTGCCAGGTCCAGCTAGGATCAACCCTTTTTTCTATAAACATAGCTGTGGCAAAACTAGCCACTGGAGACTATCAATGTATGAGTCTGTTTGCATTCTTTCTAAAGCTATAGTGACAAGTCAGAACTTATCATCTTAATAAAAGATATACTTCTCAAAACTATACTCATAAAGATGGCTTATATAGACAAAGTAATTACGAAAGAACTGACACACACTTTGAACCCAGGAAATATGGGAATTCAGATACACGTCACTTGAACCTCCAACCTCAAAAGTATCAAAATTTTAAATCAAGAAATCTTACTCACTCGCCACAGAAGTTACGTACACACAGAACTTCAATGAACCTTAACCATGGCCCCCTACAAAAATCACATAATTCCACTACCAACCAGTACCATTCACTCCAATATAGTCACTCAAACTCACACAGATCTCACCACACTATCCCTCAATCACTAACACATTTCAACAAACACTTTTCACCCAAACCACAACGATCCAGATATATAAATGATCATAGAGAATATTCTAGTTACTTCAACTCACCCACGATTCCAAGTCACCAAAACAGATATCAATTACAGTCACTTGATTCAGAATTTGAAAATGAAGATAATTTTTTAGAGATCTGAACACATCCAAGCACAACGGTCCAGACACTGCACCCCTCAAGATCCCAAAAAAGGATTCTAAGTTTAGCGGAAGAAGAAGTGGAAGACGTGAACAAAAGAGAGAGACTAGAAAGATAAAGAACACTCAAAATAATACCAGTTCTGGCATTTTTAACCTCTCACAAAAAGTTTTAAGCATTGCACAAATATCGGTTTTAAACAAGGGCTTGAAATTTGCCCCAACTCTTTTAAATCTTTTGAAGCTTTTTTAGACATTAACAAATTTGTTCGTAAAGCCACATTAAAGAGATTCTTTTTAGATAAACATGAAGAAACCCTCATTTTACCTCCTATTTTACCTCAATCTGACCAACAGGTAATTAACACTCAATTAAGAGAAAAATCTAAATTTTATCCTGCTCATTTTAAATCCGCCCCCTTAACCATGTTCGAAAAATTAGTTACAAAAGACCTCGATAAGATAAAACATAATAATTATGATTCACACAATCTTACACATGCAGAAAGAAATGCACTTAAAGAACTTCAGGAAGACACTAGCATAGTAATTAAACCCACAGATAAAAGCGGAGGTCTAGTCATTTTATCCAGTACTATGTACATAGAGGAGGCACACAGACAATTGCATGATATAGATGTATACACTAAACTTCCATCAGACCCTACACCCCAGATTCAAGCCACTTTAAGTAAATTTTTAATCAAGGGTTTAGACTCAAAAATTTTAAACAAACATGAATTTAATTTTTTAAACATTAAGTTTCCAAAAATTCCTGTTATATATTTCTCCCAAAAATACATAAAAATTAAACCAAACCCCCAGGGAGACCAATTGTGTCCGGTATAGGTTCACTCCTCTGTAATCTCTCTCAATACATAGATACCCTCCTCCAACCATCTGTTAAGCTAATGAAATCTTATCTCCAAGATTCTATGGTACTATTAAAGTTTTTAGGGAATTTTAAATGGAAACCGAGTTTTATCCTAGTTACATGTGATGTCCAATCTCTATATACAATCATACCCCACAATATCGGCTGTC